GGTCCACTTCTCCTTCACTCCAACATATCCCCACACCCCACAGCACCTCCCCCTGCAAATGCCACAGGTGTAACACCTGCCCATTTACTTCCTCCCTCCCCAGAATCTAAGGTCCCAGACACACCTTTATCTGCACTTCACTCAATCTAGCCTACTGCATTCATTTCTCACAATGTAGTCTCCTCTACACTCTGGAGATGAAACATAGACTGATCGAACGCTTTGTAGAACATCTATGTTCTGTTTGCAAAAATGACCCTGAGCTTCCAGTTACCTGCTACTTCATCACACCACCCTGTTCCCTGGCCAACATCTCTGTCTCAGGCTTGCTGCAGTGCTTCAGCGAAGTTCGGTGCAAGCTGGAAGAACCACACCTCATTTTCTGTTTGGGGACCCTGCAATCTTCAGGACGCTATAACATAAGGGCCCGAGTATCTACTTCCATGTCCTTTACCCACCCCCACACCCCAGGCCCTGTCATCATATGGGCTGCTTTCAACACAGCCAACCCATTTTCGCTCACTGATGGTCCCCATTATCAGCCTTTCTTTCTCCCTGGCTGAAGAATATCCATCCCTCTGTCTGCTTAACTGCTGTTCTTTCTCTCTGGGCTCCGTCATCACCTAATGCAGCCTCCCATCCAACTTCTCCCTCCCCCTCTGTCTTCAGCACGTTTTCCACCTGATACGAGCTAGTATCCATTCTGAAGAAGGGTCACTGGATTTGTAACATCTGTTTCTCTCTTTCTCTGAGACTGCCAGACGTGCTGAGTTTCTCCAGAAATTTCCGTTTTTTATTTCAAATTTCCAGCATTTGCACTTCCAATAAACAAATCAATGGATCTCCTACTGACTGCAATGATAAAAGCATCATCATGACACTCACTGATCTCCCTGGTCTGTGCTGTTAGAATGATGAAGTCAAAGTAGTATTAGAGGATACAATATTGCTGGGCTGAAAGGTGAAATATTAACAATAGACCTCTCCACACACTTACAGTGAGAGTCAGCACCTACAGAAACCATATCCCAGTGAGAGTGAACACCTTCAGGAACTGTATCCCAGTGAGAGTGAACACCTTCAGGAACTGTATCCCAGTGAGAGTCAGCTCCTTCAGGAACAGTATCCCAGTGAGAGTCAGCTTCTTCAGGAACCGTATCCCAGTAAGT